CCACCGCGCCCCAGCCTCCCGTGGGCCCCGCACCAGCCCTGACCCGGGTAGGGGGTGGTGGCTGGGAGAGATGATCCTGGTGTGGGAGGGCCCCAGGAAAGAGTTTGGGGTGTGTGTGCTGGGGGGGAGGGGGGGGCTCCAAGAGAGGAAGGGTCGTAGGGTGGCCAGGCTTGGCATAGGAGAAAGGGACTGATATGAGGGATTTGGGGGTGGCAGATAGGGAAGAGTTCTGTGATATTTGGGGGATTTGGCTATGGGGGCCTTCTAGGAATGGGCACAGTTGTGGATTGACTCCAGTGGACAGAAGAGTCACTGGAGAAAAGGCCTGGTGGGAATATTGGGTTGGGAGGAGGTGGGTAGACTCCAGTGTAGGGAAGAGAAGGACGATCACTACAAGTCGTGAGAAGAGACACATCCCCTTTGCTCCCATCAGGAGGAGTGGGCCTTGATTGGAAGGGGTACCTTGGCACAATACTGGGGAGTGGGATATGGTACGGAGAAACTAGCTGGAGCGGTGGCTCCTGAGGTGGGAGAATGATATAGGGAAGAGGTCTTGGCATAATATGGGAGGGGGGGGAGTTTCCTGGGGAAGGGTGTGCCGGGTGGACCAGAATGCCATAGGAGTCGGAGTCACATTGGAGTTTTCAGATAACTGTGATCAGGAGGTCCCCAAAGACCCTGGTGTGGTTTTAGAGGCCTACAGAGGACTTTGCTATGGTTTGGTGGGGCCTAGAGGACTCTAATGTGGTTTGGGGGATCTGCTGGGAAGGGTAGATCTTGAAACAGATGAACCTTGCTTTGGTAAGATGAGATCCCAATATTCAGGGGAGAGGGCAGGGGTTCAGGATCTTGTGTGAGGGCGGCCTGGGAGGGTTACAAGTGGAAATGGGAAGAAAAGAGTGAACCCTACTCCCCATACTGTCTGTGGTTTCTGTTTTCTTCCTTCCTCCAATTATTGGTGTCTTTCTGTCCTTTTCTGTCCTGGCCCATATTCCTGCCTGACTTCCGATCACTCTCTTTCACATGTGCCCGTGTTTGTGCTGCCTGCCTCATTTATTTGGTAATCATTTGTTGAGGGACTCTGCTGTTCTTCTTTCCCCTCCCCCTCACCACTTCTGTCTGTCCCCTCTTCATTCCCACCTGTTGCTCTGTTGCACTTTTCCTCCACCCTCTGTGCCTTGCCTTCTCTCTGATGTCCACCTCTTTCCTGCCTGGCATTCTCCCACACATCCCCTTCCATGTTGTTCCCCTGCCTCCTGCCTGCTCTCAGGTCTCAGCGGCGGTGGCAGCCGAGGTGCAGGATGCGAGAAGGCGCCCCCCGGCCGGGCTCCCGCTCCAGGCCTCGCTCCCCTGCGGCCCTCTGAGCCCACCATGGCCGTCCCACCGGGCCATGGTCCCTTCTCTGGCTTCCCAGGGCCCCAGGAACACACACAGGTATGTGGTCAGCTGGCTCCTCACCTGCCTGGGGTAGAGGGAGGCTGGGAATAGAAGGATCTTGGGGCCAAAGATAGTGTGGTTGTCCAGGACAGTCTCTCAGGGGCATGAAGAGCCCCACGGAAGTTGAATATAATAGAAAAGTTGCTGGCAGAGTCAGGGTTTTGAGGGCCTGGGTTAAAATAGGCAAAATTACTAGGTTCTCCATGCTTCAGTATTCTATTCTGTAAAATGGGGCCAATAATGATATCTACCTCACAGGGTTGTTGTGAGGATTAAACCAGTTAATGAAATACATATAAAGTGCTGAGGACAGTGCGTGGCACATAGTAAGCAATAAATGTTCACTAAGAAAAAGTCCAGAGTGAAAGATCTGGAGGGAGTGTAAGGGGAGGAAAGTTGAGCCTGAAGGGTCTTGGAGCTAGCAGGGCCTAGGGAACAGGGTATAGATCTCCAGGGATAGAGACAGTTAAGGTTCTGAAATGTAGAGCTTGGAGTGGGAGGTCCAGGGTGCTGGATCCAGATCCAGGACTCTTGGAGTGAAATAACTGGACAAAGGTGCTCAGATGGGGGGCTGGGGGTGAGCATTGGAAAGGCCCTAAGGGATAAGGGTGAAGCAAGATGGGAACCCTTAAGATGGGATACCCAGATGGATGGTCTCAGGCGAAGGGTCGGGAGGGGCAGAGCCTAAGTTTTTTGTATGATCTCTCCCACTGAGGTTCAGAAAGGAACACTCAGCCAATCTTTAATAATTATCCACTACAGCCCTAGCTGCTTTGGCTCAGTGGATAGAGCGTCAGCCTGCAGCCTGAAAGGTCCCCAGTTCAATTCTGGTCAAGGACACATGCCGGGGTTGCAGGCTTGATCCCCAGTTGGGGGCATGCAGGAGGCAGCCAATCAATGATTCTCTCTCATCATTGGTGTTTCTATCTCTCTCTCTCCCTCTCCTTTCCTCTCTGAAGTCAATAAAAATATATTTAAAAAATAATAATTATTATTATCCACTACATACCAGGCCCCGCTCCAGGCACTGAAGATACACAGCAAGAATAAGACACAGCCTCTGCTCTTGGGGACTTTTTCTGCTCGTGGGGTTGTCAGAAAATGACCAAATAAATAGGCACGCAGTAGTGATGAGCCAGCCACCCATTAGTTCTCCCCCTTGAGGTTGGAGGTAAAGGTCTGTCCTCAGTGCCCACCTCTCACCCTGTCCAGCAGGTATTGCCTAACGTGCGGCTCTTGCCGAGGAGGCTTCCCCTGGCCTTCCGGGATGCAACCACGGCCCCATTGCGCAAGCTCTCCGTGGACCTCATCAAGACCTACAAGCACATCAATGAGGTAGGCAGGGGGTGGGGGACCCCGCTGGGTGCTGAGGGGTCCTGGCTGCTGGCACAGGTCACTCACCAGTCCTCATCTCCTGGCTGGCCGGCTGGGCAGGTCTACTATGCAAAGAAGAAGCGGCGGGCCCAGCAGGCTCCTCCTCAGGACTCAAGCACCAAGAAGGAGAAGAAGGTCCTGAACCACGGTTATGACGATGACAACCATGACTACATAGTGCGCAGTGGCGAGCGCTGGCTGGAGCGTTATGAGATTGACTCCCTCATTGGCAAAGGCTCCTTTGGCCAGGTGCGGGATGCCCCCACCCACCCAGATCCAGAGATTGGGGGATATGGGCACCCACTGATGTTGAGTCACACAGTCAGTGGTTCAGTGGTTTCAAGTTCTATGCTGGGCCATTCAACCCAGCCCAGTCACTTGGTTTTCCCTGTGCCTGTTTCATTTTCTTAAAAAAAAACAACTGCAATTAACAGGACTCTCCACATGAGGTTGTGTTATTTCATGTCCAGTGTTCATACTAGTGCCTGACTGTTGGTGAGCACTCAATTTTGAATTCCTGTTAGTAATATTGATAGTGACATTGGTGAACCTCCTTAGCTGGAGGGAAAACAGTGGTGCCTGGCTCTGTTTCCTCCCTCACCTCCCAATTCCCCTCACTTTGTGACATACCCTGCCCCCTGCAGGTGGTGAAAGCCTATGATCATCAGACCCAGGAACTGGTGGCCATCAAGATCATCAAGAACAAAAAGGCCTTCCTGAACCAGGCCCAGATTGAGCTGCGGCTGCTGGAGTTGATGAACCAGCATGACACGGAGATGAAGTACTACATCGGTGAGCCCTGAGGCAACACGAACTGTTAGGGATAGGTCACCCCTGCTATAGGACGGGGTTGGTGTCCTCAGGACAGGGTCTGGTTTGTAATTCCATGACTTCAGTGATTCTTCTGCCACTTTTTGTGATTTTTGTCCTATTCACAAGATAATGCTGGTCAGAGTTTATTAGGTGTTAATGGTCAGGCTCTGTTGTAAGCACTTTACATAAATAAGCTCTTGTCTGCCTCACCACAGTGCCACGGAAGGGGCATCATTGCCCACAGCCTAGAGATGAAGAAACAAGGCATTCAGATGCTATTATTGCATAAAGTCACAGAGTGTATACTCAGTAGAGCTGTAATTTGACCACGCAGTGGACTCCAGAGCCTTTACTTTTAACATCTATGCCAGCCTTTTACCTCGTGTTTATACTGGTTCCTCTTAGAAAAAGCAAGAGGATTTAAAGAGTATGTTTCTTTAAATATAAATCCTCACAGTAAATGGAAAATGAGTAACCTCTGCCACATACAAAAAAAAAGAATTGAGACTAAAACAATGTTATAAAATTAAATGAGGCAGTATAGAATCTTATTAAAGACACCGTTGGTGAGCCTCCTTAGCTGAAGGAAAATAGTGGTGCCTGGTCTGTCTCCCTCTTCATCAGTGCCTATACAGACCTGTCAGTACCAAATGGAAACTTTCTCTTGGTTTAATCTGACAGTTTGACAAGAGACTTGGGAAGAATTCACTTTTCTTAAGAAAATCAGTCTTTTTCTTGGTATGATCCAAGTTACAGACCATATAAAAATACCTGACTAGCAGCTGGTACCTGTGGGCACGCCACACTTTGGCCAGTGCTCAAGAAGCAGAGACACATATCTGCTTCCGGCCCTCTCCTTGATTCCTGCGTACCCCAGGCCACCACTGGCCTTCTCTGAGCCTCAGGGTTTTTTTCCACCCCCCTGTTTGGTCCCCTTCCCGGCAGTGCACCTGAAGCGGCACTTCATGTTCCGGAACCACCTGTGCCTGGTGTTCGAGCTGCTTTCCTACAACCTGTATGACCTCCTGCGCAACACGCATTTCCGGGGTGTCTCGCTGAACCTGACACGGAAGTTGGCGCAGCAGCTCTGCACGGCGCTTCTCTTCCTGGCCACGCCCGAGCTTAGCATCATTCACTGCGACCTCAAGCCTGAGAACATCCTGCTCTGCAACCCCAAGCGCAGTGCCATCAAGATCGTGGACTTCGGCAGTTCCTGCCAGCTTGGCCAGCGGGTAGGGCCTGGCCCCGCCCTAGGGGTGGGACTAGTGGTATGGGTATGGGTGTGGCTGGGACCGGGCAGAGCCAACTGGTAGCCAGAGATTAAGGGGCCGAAGTAGGCTGGATGGGGTAGTGAAGTGGCTGATGCCTAAGGGATAGTGCTTAGGTAAAGAAGAGGGCCACAGGATATATATACTGCCCAGTCAGAAAGGGAAGAGTGAAGGCTGGGGGTGGGGCCAGTTTTGAGGCTGCCAGATGTGGGTAGGGGAAATTGGGTTGGCTTTGAGCCTAGTTGGCACTTAGCTAAGGATTGTTTACCCAGTCGTTTTAAAGCTGGGATGGAAGGTGGGGAAGGTGCTTCAGCTATGCAACTTCCTGTAAGCAGTCATTTGAATTAATGATGGTGGTGGCATGAAAAGGGTCTGGATTGGCATGTTAGGAAGGGCCTAGGTTTGCAGACTGCCAAACTCTGACTAAGAGGGGCCCAGAGTCAGGCCTACAGATGGAGATCAGGAACAGACTAGGCCAGCAGACTCTGAGGCCGGTAAGTAAAGTGGAGGTAGTGGCTCCTGTAAAGTTGGTGCTGATAACATCAGGGTTTGTAGCAACCACATCCCCAGTTTGAGGCAGAAGGCTTATTGTAGTTTTGGGGGGTGCCAGTGGGGGTGACTATTGCCCTCTATCCTCCCTCAGATTTACCAGTACATCCAGAGCCGCTTCTACCGGTCACCCGAGGTGCTCCTGGGCACGCCCTATGACCTGGCCATTGACATGTGGTCCCTGGGCTGCATCCTGGTGGAGATGCACACCGGAGAGCCCCTTTTTAGTGGCTCCAATGAGGTGTGCTCCTGAGGAGGGGGTGTGTTGGAGGGGGTGCAGGCCAGGCTGGCCTGATGACCCTGACTGCCCACATGTTCACAGGTGGACCAAATGAATCGGATTGTGGAGGTGTTGGGCATCCCACCAGCTCCCATGCTAGACCAGGCACCCAAGGCTCGCAAGTACTTTGAACGGCTGCCTGGGGGTGGCTGGACCCTACGGAGGACAAAGGAACTCAGGAAGGTGCGGCCCCTGCCCTTTGCCGCTCCTCCTACCCTGGTGGCCCCTCACTCTCTCACACTTGGGGCTCCCTCTCTCCCTGCTTCCTCTCCCTCGTGTCTTTCCCTTCCTTCCTCTCCCCCTTGTCTGTCTTTTCCTTCCTCCCCAATCTACCCTATCTCTCCTACCCACCCCACAACTCTTAGCTTCTCTTTCCACTTTCTCTCTGGTGCCTCTGTTTCCCCGTGTGTGTCTCCCTGCCCCTCCTGCCCACTGACGGCCACTCTCTTGCCCCCCCTCCCACCCCCTCCCTGCCAGGATTACCAGGGCCCTGGGACACGGCGGCTGCAGGAGGTGCTGGGCGTGCAGACGGGCGGGCCCGGGGGCCGGCGGGCGGGGGAGCCGGGCCACAGCCCCGCCGACTACCTCCGCTTCCAGGACCTGGTGCTGCGCATGCTGGAGTATGAGCCCGCCGCCCGCATCAGCCCGCTGGGGGCTCTGCAGCATGGCTTCTTTCGCCGCACGGCAGATGAAGCCACCAACACAGGCCCGGCAGGCAGCAGTGCCTCCACCTCGCCCGCCCCCCTCGACACCTGCCCCTCCTCCAGCACCGCCAGCTCCATCTCCAGCTCTGGTGGGTGCCCGGTGCCCAATAGGGTAGGACGGTTGTGGGTGAAGCTCTGGTGTGGCCTGACCTTGGGGACCTTGTCATTGGGCCTTCACCTAGAGCTTTGAGACTGCATGATCCTGAACTCCAAAGGTTAGGGCAGGAGAGCTCCAGCTGGTCCTGACCTGACCTCTGAAACTGAGCTTGTGCTCAGACCTCTAACTGGTTCTGACTCCAACACCCAAAACTGAACTCTGACCCCTAATCTCAAAATTGGGCCTGATTTCTTCACATCAATGCAGAACCCAAAGCCCAAACCTGGGCCTGGGTCATGAATCAGACTCAGCCACCTCAAAACCCAGCCACCACCTCTCCTCACTTAAGGCCTCTTCTCTCCTCCCCTGGCATTTCCAGGAGGCTCCAGTGGCTCCTCCAATGACAACCGGACCTACCGCTACAGCAACCGATATTGTGGGGGCCCTGGGCCCTCCATCACTGACTGTGAGATGAACAGCCCCAAGGTATGGGGCTTTAGGGCCTTTGGAGGTGGGTGGTGGGGTATCTGGGACTCCGGAACCTGGGTCTCCATCACCCACTGTTCCTTTGCTCCTTTAGGTCCCACTCTCCCAGCCGATGCGCCCCTGGGCAGGCGGTGATGTGCCCCACAAGACACATCAAGCCCCCGCCTCTGCATCATCACTGCCAGGGGCTGGCACCCAGTTACCCCCCCAACCCCGATGCCTTGGCCGTCCTCCATCACCAACCTCACCACCACCTCCGGAGCTGATGGATGTGAGCCTGGTGGGCGGCCCTCCTGACTGCTCCCCACTCCATCCAGCGCCTGCCCCCCAGCACTCGGCTGCCTCAGCCCTCCGGACTCGGATGACAGGAGGTCGTCCACCCCTCCCACCCCCTGATGACCCTGCCACTCTGGGGCCTCGCTTGGGCCTTCGTGGTGTACCCCAGAGTACGGCAGCCAGCTCATGACCCTGCCCCTTCCCTGGGGCCCTCCTGAAGCCATACCCCTCCCCCATCTGGGGGCCCTAGGCTCCCATCCTCATCTCTCCCCTTGACTGGAATTGCTGCTGCCCAGCCGGGGTGGGTGAGGCCTGCACTGACTGGGGCCTGGGGCAGGGGGTCAAGGAGAGGGGTTCAGGCGCGCCCCCACACTAAGGACTGGACCCTTGGCCCCCTCTCTCCCCTTGTTTTCTATTTATTGTACCAAAGACAGTGGTGGTCCAGTGGTTGGGAGACCCCCTTCACCCCAGGGCCCTAGGAAGGGGTGGGGGCCGGTAGGGGGAGATGGCATTGCTCCTCCTTGCTGTACCCCCCAGTAAAGAGCTTTCTCACATGCCCGCCTGAGCGTTTGCAGGGCCCTGGCTCCCTTCACCCAGCCCTCAGAGGCATGGTGCGGAATGTGTTTGGGGAGGGGGTGCTGGAAGAGCTTTGTCTTGTCGGATATGTCCATAGGGAAGTTATAGCTATTGGTACAGACATGGGGCTGCAGGTCTGGGCCTAAGGAATCCTAGACAGAGATCCTGAATAGGATTGTAGCCCACATTTGCCTTTTCCAGGGTAAACTGAGACTCTGAAAGGGTGAAGGCCCACCTCTGGCCTGTTTCTGGGAAACAACAGTTTGTGTCCTAGTAAGCCAGGGTTTCCACAGAGTCTGTGCAGGAGTGGTTCCTTTTGCCAGGCAAGCATCCAGTAGGTGCTGAATACGTGTAATAGGACTTATTAGTGCCATCTGGGGATTGACAGGCAGACAATGGGTACAGAAAAAAAACCCCCCCCACCCCCGACGTCTGGTCTTACCCTTTGGAACAATTGCGGACAGAGCAAGGCGTTTTGAGATTTTCAGGCCAAAAAAATATCCCAGGGGTTCCAGGTAAGTGGGCCTGTTTCCTTGGCATTTGGGAAACTTTTGTCTCCCAAATGGCCAATCAAGAACCTCCTGTTGCAAAGGGTATCCGTCTTCCACCTCAGGGATGCGGGCGCCTCCTGGGAAATGGAGCTCTACTTAGCAATCTTCCCACTTTTCGTCGGGGAACTACAAAGACCAGAGTTCTTTTCGCTCACGTGTTTAGGGGCGGGATGTCAGGCGGCCAATCAGCAGTCAGACAAACAGCCGGATGCTGGTCGCTAGCTCTGAGGAGGAAGGAAAGGGCCGTGATTGGGTGTTTTGGGCCGTGCTGTGCGCAGGTGTTGATTTCTGTTGAGGCGGCGGCAGGTGCCCGAAGGCTTATCGTGGAGAGCGTGAAGGTAAGATGTTCGTAGTTAGAGCTGGAGGTGGGCGCAGAGGCCTGAAGCGGCCCCGTCACGTGCGGCATCACCCAGCTCGCGGGAAAGACCCCGTCAGTAGGAGTGAGCAAGGGCTCCGTTACTTACCTGCTTGTGTTCGCTAATGGTGGCAACGTTGAACGCGCGGGAACCCAGACGGAGCACGGGTAGGGAAACTTCTGGAGGTGGAGCAGCTGCCTGAGCCGAGACCTATGCTAGGGTTGGGGGGAGGGGTACTTGTGCGGTGGAATGGCTTGCACAAAGGCAGCAATGAGAAACGGCCTGGTGATCTGGTTTTGGAGATCTTATTGAAAGGCCTGTATGAATTAGGTCGTGGAAGATTTTGTTGGCTATTTGGGGATTTCCTGAAGGCAATGAGAAGCCATGGGAGGATGTCTAGAAGGGAAGGCCCTATTTGCTGTCATCTGGCAGTAAATTGACGGGAAAGAGACTTGGGTCTGGGAGCCCAGGAAGGTGTCTGGCAGGATCATCGGGGATGAACCAGGGAAAGGGTCTTGGTAGGGAGCGGAGGAAGATGTGGGTGGGAGAGATACCCAGAAGACTGTCTTGACAGGCTGGATGTGTGGTTAACAGATTGTGGAGAAGGGCGGGAAAGGAATATCTCTAGCATGTAGGACAAGTGGCTGCATATTTTAGATGCTTAAATTTTTTTTGAATGAATAGTCCTAGGAGGCCAGTACTAGTATGATCTCTTTTGCAAATGAGGTTGCTGAGGGCAGAAAAAGTTAAGTAACTTGTCCAAGATCACATAGCTGGGAAAGGAGAGGGCTCAGGATTTGTGTATATGTCAACCATTGACTTAGCCAGGTGCAAGATGAGCCTCGAGTCATCAGCAGGAGCCAAATCATGTGGATTCTGTAAGGAATTTGGGGTGGATAAGCATGGAGACATATCTCAAATTTCTATTTCCAGCTCAGAACCTCTCCTGTGACTGCTGACTGACTGCCCACATGGTATCACCTCTTGGATTTCTAGAGATATCTTGAGAGTAATCTTGGCCAAATTGAATTCCTGTTTTTCCCCCCAAAAATCTGTTCTTCCAAGCTTGTTCTCAGTAAATGTCACCTCCATCCTTATAGTTGCTCAGATCCAAAGCTTTGGAGTTGTTCTTGAGTCCACTCTTTGTCTTATATCCATGTCCGGTCCATCAGCAAATTCTTTCAAAGTATATTCAGAACCTGATCATTTCTTCCCACCTCCATTGCTGTCACCCTAGTCCTGTCCACTCTCATCATCTGCCTAGAGCAGCGGTTCTCAACCTGTGGGTCGAGACCCCTTTGGGGGTCGAACAACCCTTTCACAGGGGTCACCTAAGACCATCAGAAAACACATATATAATTAAATATTGTTTTTGTGATTAATCACTATGCTTTAATTATGTTCAATTTGTAACAATGAAAATACATCCTGCATATCAGATATTTACATTACGATTCATAACAGTAGCAAAATTACAGTTATGAAGTAGCAACAAAAATAATTTTATGGTTGGGGGTCACCACAACATGAGGAACTGTATTAAAGGGTCGCAGCATTAAGAAGGTTGAGAACCACTGCACTATAACCTCTGAGCCTCAGTTTCTTCGTCTGTAAAGTGGGAGGGGGTAGAGTAACAGTGTCTATCTGTGCCCAGTGCCTGAAACACCTGACTGATAGGAGGAGCTCAACAAATAGTCACCTGGAAGGTGACCTGGAGTGAATACAGACTTAGACCAAGATTTTCTTGAACATTGTAAACTTAATTCATTTTAATCTCTGCATGCCCCGTGACCCTAGCACAGGACCGGCACAGGACTGGTGCGGGAGAGCACTTGCTGGGAGAGTTGGAAGCAGCCATGGATGGGCAAGTGGGCACAAAGATGTGTGCACGGGTGGGTGGATGGACAGGCATGTAGCTGGATCAATGATGGATGGAGAAGTCGGACATCTGGGTGTATAAATGTGTGCTAAGTGGGGGGAGTGGAGGGATGGTGGGTGGGTGGGGTGAGGGTAGAAGAAATAAATACGGGACACGCCCTCATTGTGTGGCAGCCTTCTCAATGGTCTCCCTGCTCCCCACATGCAGCCAGAGTGACACTGAACACCTGGGTCAGGTCACGTTCCTCTCCTGCTCAGTACCTTCCCGTGCCTCCATCTCACAGAAAGTAAATGCCAAAGTTTTCTCCATGACCTGCAAAGCCCTGCATGACCTGTCCATGTTACTGCTCTGACATCATTTATTCACCTCTCCTTGCTCACTCTGCCTCACAGCCTTTGTACTTGCTGTCTTATTTGTTTGTTTGTTTATCTTTATTGTTGAGAATATTACAGGTATCACCATTTCTCCCCATTGACTCCCTCCTCCCCAGGCCTTCACTGCACTATTGTCTGTGTCAATGGGTTATTCCTATCTATAATAATAAAAACATAATGTGTTAATTAGACCGGGTGTCCTTCGGACGACCTTCTGGATGAAGCCAGGGCTGTGATAGAAGCCCGGGACCTGGGTGCCAGAGGGAAACCGGTGCCAGCAGCCGGGGGAAGGAAGGCCTATTCTTGCACAAATTTTGTGCATCGGGCCTCTAGTATACATATAAATTCTTTAATTAATCTTTTCCCATCATACCCTCCCCCCTTCCCTCTGAGAATCGTTAGTCTTTTGCAAGCTTCCATGTCTCTGAATCTGTTTTGTCAATTTCATTTGTTCTTGAGTCAGTTGGAGTTGAGTCAATTTGTTCATTAGATTCCACAGATAAAGTGAGATCCTGGCTTATTTTGCTTAGCATAATACTATCCAGGTCCCTCCATGTTGTCTCAAAGGGTGTGAGATCCTTCCTTTTTACATCTGCATAGTATTCCATGGTATAAATGTACCACCTGTTCTCTTTACCTGGGACACTTACCCGGATAGTGAAGGCTCACCTTCACCTTCTTTAGGTCTTTACTCAGATGTCACCTTATCCTTGAGATCTTCCTGTCCACCCTTCTAGAATTTTGTATGTTAACTTTCCTTGGCATTAGTCATATCACTCTTTAACACATACAATTTCTTACTAGAGGCCTGGTGCATGAAATTCATGCACTCGGGGGCAGGGTGTCTCCTCAGCCTGGCCTGCACCCTCTTGCAGTCCAGGAGCCCTTGAGGGATGTCGTGGAGGCAGGAGAGGCTCCTGCCACCATCGCTGCACTCGCCAGCCATGAGCCCAGCTCAGGGCTCTGGCTGAGCAGCACTCCCCCTGTGGGAGCGTACTGACCACCAGGGGGCAGCTCCTGAGGTGAGCCTCTGCCCCCTAGTGGTCAGTGCACGTCATAGTGATGGGTCAGCTGGTCTACTATCTGCCCCCTGGTGGTCAGTGCACGTCATAGTGAGTGGTTGAATGACCTTAGCATATCATTCGCATATTACTCCTTGATTGGTTGAATGGCTGACTGGATGGCCGGACACTTAGCATATTAGGTTTTTATTATATAGGATTGTCTGTCCCCCTTTCCCTTATCCCCACCAGACCATATACTTCATGAGGGCAGGAGCTTTTGTCTACTTCATGCTTTATCTCCAACACTTAGAAGAGCCCTTGACATATAGTAGGGATTTAATAATTCTTTATTGAATGAACTAGGGGCCTGGTGCACGAATTCGTGCATGGGTGGGGTCCAGCTGGCCCGCCCTGATGGGGGCCCATTGGGGGTGTGGCCGGCCGGGGGTAGGAACTGTAGGAGGGCTCCAGAGCATGTCCGGCCTGGCTTGCTCAGTCCCGATTGGCCGGACGCCAGCAGCAAGCTAACTTACCAGTCGGAGCATCTGCCCCCTGGTAGTCAGTGCACGTTATAGCGAGCAGTTGAGCATCCTTAGCATATCATTAGCATATTACGCTTTGATTGGTTGAATGGACGACTGGACATTTAGCATATTAGGCTTTTATATAGGATGGGTGGATGATTTCAGAGCTCAGATCCTGATCCCAGCATCCTACATACTTTGTCAGTTCCCTTTCCACAGAACTTTAAGGAGCTGCCTTAAAATTTTCTGAGATCTCAGACATTCAACAAGTGTTTTCATCTTGCCTCAGCTTTGTGCTCAGCATTGGGAAGACAGCAGAGAACAAACTAGTTTCCCTGCCCCCAAAGAGCTCACGGTCTTGGGTAGGGGGTTCAACTCATCAACTAACCACACAATATGAAATTTTACAGAGAAAGGTAGAAAGTGCTATAAGAGCACTTGACAGGAAATCTAATCTGGACCCTAGAAGTGAGGTTTGAAGTGATCTGAAGGAGTAGGCATTAACTCCATTAAATCTGGTGCGCGTGTGTGTGTGTAAGATGGTTGGGACCTAAAGGCTGAGAGGGAGCAAGAGATCAGACCATGCAGATCCTGTAAGGAGTGTGTGTCCTTACCCCATGTGTAGTGGGAAGGTGTAAAAGAATTTTATTTTATTTTTTAAATTTTTTAACTGATTTTTGGAGAGAGAAGAAGGGCGAGGGAGTGAAGAGAGAAACTTCCATGTAAGAGTGAGACATCGATCAGCTGCCTCCTGCACACCCCCTGTCGGGGATCAAGCCTGCAACTGGGGCATGTGCCCTGACTCAGAATCAAATGGCAACCTTCGGTTCATAGGATGATGCCCAACCAACTGAGCCACACTGACCAGGGCAAGAATTTTAAATAGTGCAAAGAGGCATGATCACTTATATATGTTAACAGATCCCTTAGGCTGTTGTGTGTGGAATTGGCAATAGGAGATTACGGATTGAAGTAGAGGCCAGTGATGAGGCTGTTACTATGAGATTAAAATAGCGGCTGCTAATGAAGGCCACCCATTCTTTGCTGTTTTTTTCCATCAGAAGGTGAAGTCTCCTCCTTTAATTCGATCTGACTGTGACTTGTTTTGCCAATAGAATGTAGTGAAAGTGATGCAGTTGGGGAGGCCTGGGCCTTTTAGAGGCCTGGCAACTTGTGCTTTCACTCTCTTGGAGCCCTGGGTTTCTGTACAAAAAAAATCCAGCTATGCTGCTGGAGAGAAATGTGGAAAGAGGCCCAGCCAGTCCCTAGCTGTTCCATTGTTTTAGCTAATGTGTTAGACATGAGTGATGCCATCTAGCCCAGCTCCCAGCTGACAACATGTAGAGTAGGGATGAGCCATCCTGACTTGAATTTGATTCTCAGTGAGATAGGAAGAAATCAGCATTTTGAGCTGAAGAATGATATGATACTAATAGGATTCCTCTGGCTGCCATGTGGACACGAGGGTAGAAGCAGACTCCAGTGAGGAGGCTACTGCACTAATCCAGCCAGAGATAGTGGTGGATTAGCCTGAGTAGTAGTAGTGGAGGTGGGAGATGTGGTCGGATTTTGGATATAATTTGAAGGATGAGTAGGCAGCATTTGGGGTATAGGTGTGGGGTGAAAAAGAGGAATCAACAACCAAGGGTTTTAGCCTTAGCAGAAGAAGGAGGGAATGCCAGTAACTATATGAGGAAGACTAAGAGAGGCTGTGGATGTGGATACATTAAGCATCCCAGTGGACTTGCTGAGCAAGCAGTGGAATCTAGGAGTCTGGCATTCAGAGGTGAAATCTGGACTGGAGATGTAATTTGGGTAGTCATTGGCATTTTTGTGGTATGAAGGCCCAGATGAGGTCACTAAGGTAGGGAGTATAGATGGAAACAAGGTCTGGGAGTACTGGCAGGGAGGTCCATGAGGAGGTTGCTGCCATAATCTAGGTGAGAGATGATGGTGGCCTGGACAAGGTAGGGACAGTAGTGAACAGTCATCTGGATACATTTGTTGTTGTTAATCCTCACTCGATATTTTTTCACTGATTTTTAGAGAGTGGGAAAGACAGAGAGAAACATCGATGTGAGAGAAATACATCGACTGGTTGCCTCCTGCACGAGCCCCGACCAGGGCCTGGGCCACAGTGGAGCCTGCAACCAAGGTACGTGCCTTGACCGGGATTAAACCCAGGTCCCTTTGGTCCACACTCTATCCACTGAGCCAAACCAGCTAGGCTGGATACATTTTGAAAACAGAACTGACTGTGGATTGGTTGTGGGTGATGATGGAAAGAAATGGACAAGGGCCTCATGAGAACAGAATAGAGTCAGAACATGGGGCAGTGACTCTTCTTTCCTCCTGGCCCTGGCCCTGTGGTCTCGCCTCTCTGCATCTGCTGCTTCCTCTGTTTGCAGGCAGCTGGGCTGGCCCTGGGTCAGTCTTGCTCTGACTCTATGTGACTTTCCAGTACAGTACCCACAGCTCCTCTGTCCCCATTCCAAATTCCCCAGACAAGGATCAGATTGCTGGGGTTGACTCTCAAGCTCTGCTCAACCTGCTATAGCTGGGGGGTATGGGGTTTCTGCAAGGGTGTCTGTCTGCTGGGAAGGGCTGTGGACTGGGCACCTCAAATAGTCACAAAGGTTTCCGACAGTGTATTGGGGGTAGGAGTGTGTGGGTGGATGTTTTGGTAAGTGGGTGGGTGAGACATTTTTTTAAAATTATTTATTTATTTATTTTAATATATTTTTATTGATTTCAGAGAGGAAGGGAGAGGAGAGAGAGATAGAAACATCAATGATGAGCAAGAATCAGATTGGCTGTCTCCTGCACACTCTCCTCTGGGGACCCAGCCCGTAACCGGGCATATGCCCTTGACCAGAACTGAACCCAGAACCCTTCAGTCCATAGGCTAATGCTCTATCCACTGAGCCAAACCGGCTAGGGCGAGATATTATTTATGTAGCCTCAGATGGCTGAATGGGGTGGGAGAGATGAGGAAGTTGGGCTCTGGCAGGCTCTGACCCCAGAAGGGTTAGAGTTACGTTGGGAGAAGTGATGGGGATCCAACACAGCTTCTGCCTGCCATAGTAATCAGGAAGGCAGACACTCGTCACTCCTCATGTGAGAGAGACACAGCAGTGACTGAGACAGCCTCCACCCTGCCCTCCGAGAGCACCCATCCAGTGGGGGAGACACCCCCTCACCAGCCGGGGGTCAGGGAGGGCCAGGATAGCGGGCGTTATAGGGTGCTGTGGGAGCCCAGAGGAAGTACTTGATCTAGTCTAAGGTATCAGGAAGGACTTCCTGGAGTGGAGAACACATGAGGTGAGATTTGAAGAGTCAGATGAAGGGAGTTAGGGTCTCTACAGGTGATGACTTGTAGCCAAGTCAGTAAATACTTAAATAATTTTTTTATATTGAATAATTTTAGATTTACAGAAAAGTTGCAAAGAAAATACAAAAGATTTCCCATATACCCTGCACCCAACTTCCTCTAAAGTTAACATCTTACATATTTATGGTACATTTTTGAAAAGTAGGAAGTTAATGTTGATTAGTATTCTAACTTTATCCATATCCTACCCGTTTTCCACTAATGTTCTTTTTCTGTTCCAGGAGCCAATCCAGGAACCATGTTGCATTTATTCACCATGTCTCCTTGGTCTCCTCCAGTCTGTGACAGTTTCTCAGTCTTTCCTTGGTTTTCATAACTTTGACAGTTTTGAGGTATACTGCCCCACAGTCTGGGTTCCTATATTTTTCTCATGGTTAGACTGGGATTATAGGTTTGGGGAAGAATGCCTTCAGCTGATATTTACCTGGATCACTACTTTAAGGTGGTGTCTATCAGGTTTCCTAACTATAGTGTTACTGTTTTTCCCTTTTCTTACTCTGTTTGTTAGAAGCAAGTAACGAAATCCAGCCCACACTCAAAAGGAGGAGAATTAAGCTCCAGTTCCTGTAGGGAAAAATATAAAAGAATTTGTCATAATAAGTATGGGAAGATACTTTGAGACTGTGCAAATGTCCTGATTCTCCTCAAAGTTCCACCCACGAATTTTAGCATTTATCATGGATCTTGCCTGAGACAGTTATTGCTGTGGTATTCTAGTGTTCATTTTCTATTTCCCTCATTTCTTCTACACTTATTATTTGGAATTCTTCTGTAGGAAGATTTGTCTCTTCTACCCCATTTATTTTATTTGTATAATCACTCATTTTTATCAGTATGGACTCATGGATATTTATTTTATTCTTTGTGTATAATCCAGTACTGTCATAATTAATTTTTCACTCCAGAATAACTGGTTTTGGCCATAGGGGCTCTTTCAGGTTGGTTCCTGTGTTCTTTATTTTTTTTCTTGAGTACCTACCTCCTTACTCTCTGGCATTGTAAGATGATTCAGGCTTATCTTGCATTTTCCCTGCCCCAACCCTGGAATCAGCCATTTCTCCAGGTATTGGAGAAAGGTATTAGAAACCAAGGGGCACTAAATACGGTCATTGCTACTGGGGTGTCACTGTTTCTAGTCCCTCTCAGCTGACAGCTAGGAAATACATGTATGTGTACAAACCCAGGTATGCACACACATCTGTTTTTCTGTGTGTGTATGTATAGATAGATATAGCTATCTGTGTATAAAAATAAACATGAGCCAATACTGATATATATATATAGGCAGTCCTCGGGTTACGTCAGACTTCACGTATGTCGTTTCCTGGTTACATCGCCATCTCCCATTTACAGTATTTATTTTTAAAAAAAATTTCCATCATTTTGACGTATGTACTCATGTGCTTTATGTTTTTTATTATTTACCACAGTAAAGGTCAGGAATTGTTATCTTTCTTTTAAATTTTTTTACTGTTTCACTTCATTACTGCTGTGTATGTGCTCCATGTGGGTGACATAGGTGCTTATGTAGGTGGGTTCCGACTTACAGCGAAAATTGCATTAGGTTGCACCGTAGGAACGGATCTCCCAACGTAACACGAGGACCTACTGTATGTGTGTGTGTATATATATATATTTTTGTTTGTTTGTTTGTTTGTTAATCTTCACCTGAGGACATTTTTCCATTGATTTTCAGAGAGAATGGAAGGGAGGGAGAGAGGCATATTGGTGTGAGAGAGACACATCGATTGGTTGCCTCCTGCATGTGCTCCAAATGGGATCGAGCCTGTAACCAAAGTATATGCCCTTGACCGGAAACGAACTCCGAACCCTTCAGTCGACTGAGCCAAACCGGCTAGGGCAATACTGATATTTCTGACTCTAATCCAGCCCGAAAAGGTTCATTCTCACCTTCCCTCCTTGCTTTCTTTGTAACTTCTTTCTCTGACAATAAAAAACTTGGCTCAGTGGGCACTTTTTTGGGCTCACTTATTGACCATCTTGGCAAAAACTGGCAGTGTTAGCCATTCCCTTCTACAAAACACTCTCCCTTTGGTTTCTCTGACACTGCTGTCCCCTGATTTTCTTCCTATGTCTTGCTTCTTTACAAGAAGTTCCTGTTTTCACTGATCCCTTAAATGTGGAGGAAGCTCTTCTCAACTCCCACCCCGGGGCCATCTTAATCTCATTTATGGTTGGTTTGCTGTCTCTGTGCTGATGACGCCCACTCTGCCCTACACCCCTGCATCTTCCCTGGGCCCCAGATGTGGGTTGCCTCATGAGGCCACCACTCCCTTTCCCCTTCAGCCTGGGTGATCTCTGGGTCTTTAACATGCACTATATTCCAAATTGCAAACCTCCTCCTCCTCCTCAGTCTCTATCTCAGGGGTTACCCCAGGCTCTCAGAGAGTACTGGGCTTCATCTTTGATGCCTCCTTCCCCATCCCCACCCCCCAGCCCTACCCATCAACCTCCACAGATTGTCCACTAGGACTCCTGGATGTCTTCCATCTGCCCCTTCTTGCCTTCATGGTCCCATGTTGGCCAAATCCTGTCCTCTCCCACCTTGTCTCTGCCTGCCCTCCTCCTTGGCCTCTGGCCTCCCATCTCTCTAACCCACCCCCACTTGGCAGTGAGAGGGATATTTGTGAAACACAAATCTAACCATGTCCTTCTGCTTCAATGCATCCCATGTTTCTCCAGTGTCCTTAGGATAGGGTCCTACCTCCTTCTAGTACTGAAGGCTTGGTGTGATCTGGCCCCTGACCATCACGATCTCAGCCTGTCTCCCTGACTGCCTAAGCTCTAGACCCACTGAACTTCTTTGTTTCCTTGAACATGATCAATGTGCTCACCTGGGTCTCTACATAGATCTTCACCCAGCCCCAACAATCTTCAGCCCGCCGGTCCTGCCCCACCCACTTTCTTCCCACTCATGTTATTTTGAAACTCCCCAGACATCACCATCTGTAAGGATAATGAATACAGTGTAACCAGTGGTTTTGCTGAGTGTTGGAAGTTGGTGTGTGGGGTAGCTTTACTTTAAAACAATTTTTGCAATGAACATGTTTTTATTTGTTGCTGACAGTATTACAGATATCCCCCTCAATGAACGTGTTTTCATTGAATACTAATAACACCAATAGCTGTTGTGGGAGAAAATTTAAATAAGAAAAAAAATGTCATGTGTTTGAGTTTAAGAGAAAAAACCTTTTAGGAATTGTTTTATTACTTTAAGAATTCTACAGAGGCAAGAAGAGCATAGAGGTTTATTGTCTGTGCACACTGTAACAGCGTGCTAGAATGCGAAAGTGCTGGAATGTACTTTGAAGGAGTACTTGTAAGCTTCCTTTTGAGTCACATCCACTGAGGGAATTTTCTGCCATGAATTCATAATTATCATTTTAAACATGGCTTGTGTAATTTGTCTGAATAGTGTCTTACAAGCATTGGGAACAACTGAGTTATATAAAAGGATTTTGTATATGTAGAGGAATCTTTGGTGTTGGGAGAATCTTTGTCTTATGCTATGATGTCAGTGACAATTGGGACAGTGAATTTAGGGTAAAGCAACTGTGAATGTACCCACTTTGAGACATTTTGTGGTTTTAAATCTGGCTAGCATGTGCTTTAACGATAACTTCCAACATCTACCTGACGCCTTTCTCATGCCAGGCCTGTTCTCAGCCCTTTCCATGGATTAATTCCGTAATCCTCATACAGGCTCGAGGAGGCAGCTACTATTCCTTTCCCAGTGTTTTGTGAGAGGCATTTAGAGTTTAAATCAAACGCTTCAGGTTCCATAGCTAGTAAGTGGCAGCACTAGGACTAGAACCCAAGAGACTTGGTTGGTTCCATTGTCTGTGCCTTTAACCGCCTTCCTCCTGGATGCCATTCTTAAAGGAGATGTTCACATTTCTGATTCTGCAGTTTCTTCTTTTGGGAAGAAGAGCTTACTTCTCCAGCTGCTAAAAATCTCTTTTCAACATCCCCAATTATTTGTAAAGAAAAACACTTTTAACTATTTTTTTAGGGAAAATTTCAAAACTACACAAAAGCAGAGAGAAGTCTAATGAAGGCCTATGTCCCCATCACCCAGCTTTGACAATTACCAGCATATGGCAATTCTTTTTTTTTTTAATATATTTATTGATATTTTACAGAGAGGAAGGGAGAGGGATAGAGAGTTAGAAACATCGATGAGAGAGAAACATCGATCAGCTGCCTCCTGCGCACCCCCCACTGGGGATGTGCCCGCAACCAAGGTACATGCCCTTGACCGGAATCGAACCTGGGACCCCTCAGTCCGCAGGCCGACGCTCTATCCACTGAGCCAAACGGGTCAGGGCAGTTCTTGTTCCATTTATATCCTGCACACTTTTTCTCCTCTGCTCAATTATTTTAATGCAAAACCATATATGTTTTATTAAAAGACATTTTCTTTAGAGAAAAGGAAACCTACAATTCCTTGCTCCAAGTCCTCTCCCTGCTGGCAAATTGACCACCTTCCCTCTCCCTCATTTTCCAAACGCAGACAGATCTGTGTGATACTATCACCTGGCTCTGTCCCTGGCTTGTTTCCGGGAACCCTGTCCTTCAGCGTTGATCCCCGTTGCTCTGAAGCCTGAAAATGATCCTTCTCAGTGACCATGGCCAGGCTGGGGTTGCTTGGCAGGCCCCTCCCCTGCAGTGGGACATTTAATCTGCGCGTGGCTTTTTGCCCTAATCGTGTTCTCTTATGTATTTGGGTTGTTTTCGGGATGCCCCCCAAAACCAGGTCAGGCCACCTGTAATACTCCTCGCACACTTTACATTATGTTTATCATGGTCAGAATGAAATAGGGATTTGGATACTTACCTATATTAATTGCCTGAGAGCTCCATGAGGGTAGGTATCAGGTCTGTCTTCATCCCTCCTGTGTCTCCAGCATCACCCAGTGCAGGGCCTGGCACTCACTAGGTGCTCAGTAACGGTGATGAATGAATGAGTGATTGCCAAGGTCAATAGCTGAGCGTTTGTCATGAGGGAAATAGGAAGCCACAGAATGTTTTAGGCAGAACTGGACCCATTTTTTTTTTTCAAACTAATGTGCATACAAATTCCCTGGGATCTTGTTAAACTGCAGATTGTGAGTCAGTGGGTCTGGGGAGCAGCCTGAGATTCTGCATTTCTAATAAGCTCCCAAGTCATGCCAGTGTTTGGAGCAGCAAGGGTCTTGCTGTGCTGTTCAGTAGTCCAGCCGCCAGTCACATGTGACTATTGAGCACTTGAAATGTGGCTAGTGTGAATTGAGATGTACTTCAAGTGTGACATACCCATCGGATTTCAAAG